TGGTGGCGCCATACCCCTAAGATTTCACAACTGCCGCTACCACTGTGCCGGTAGCGCAATACCCCCTAAGACTCTAAGATTTCACAACGGCCGCTGTCGCTAGCTGCCTGGTTCTACCTGACTTATAGGCGATCCGTCAGGAAAACAAGTATAATTTCTTTCCTTGGGTCTCGAGTTGTGATTTCTCCAAACACCTCATCAGCGAAACAGAAAAACACACTGCAAATCACATGCAAGTAGCTGAGCAGCTGTTGTACTGTTTCTGGTAGAGCCCCTGCTCTCAAAACAAAAAACACCGCCAGGGAAGAACCTAGGCAAATTCTTTGACACTCACTTTGGTCTCTCACTTGGGCTCAGCAGCAGCCTTCCTCTTTCGCTGGGGCTTCTTTGGCTCTTGCGCATCATCCTGCAAGCAAGCCGCGAATAACGGCAAAATCAAAATGAACACGTGTTATTTCTAGTGAAGGTGGCTGCTGGTATATCCTAAGAAAGCAAACGCCAAATTACAAACAAAGCACTCAGTGCAAACCAGTAGGATGTTAAAACCCTTCGCACAAAAAATCGCTCACGCTGGAAACCACGCAAAAACATTCAAACGCATTGACATGAAACCAAATGTTGATCAGAGAGATTCCGAAGCGCACAATCTTTTTTGACACCAGTGACAACGGCCTGTGCAAGTTCGAGTCGTCAATCTGTCGATTCGATTGTGTCATCACCAGTTCAAGCAGTCGATAAACTGCCTGTCAGAAAGAAGTAGCTTCCAAAATGAATTGTATTCACCTGTTGTAAAACTCAGACATTTGATCCCACGGCAAATTCATAGGGAGGGCTGGGTGGGGCAACCTCAACCAAAAAAGTATGAGGCTACCCTCCACCCTACCCTGATAAGCCAAGATGTCGCACATTGTATTCTTCATCTGGATACGGCTGTAGACTTGTAAGTGCACAAAGTCATCACTGAATGAACTTCTGAAGATTCAAGAGTTTGAAGTGCCGCCAGAACCAAGTGTTTGAAGTTGATTGCAAACGATTCACAAACTGCAACTGTAAATAAACTCGACCAAGTCAGTTGTAAAATACAAAGATCCATCTTCGAGTGATCCCTTGCAGCAAAGAGGAGACAGCACAACAAGAAGGACAACCAGCAGCACGAAAACACGTTTTCTCACCAACACTAGAAATAAGGAGCTATCAACAAGTTGACCGCATACTTATTTCTAGTGAAGGTGGCTGCTGGTATATCCTAAGAAAGCAAACGCCAAATTACAAACAAAGCACTCAGTGCAAACCAGTAGGATGTTAAAACCCTTCGCACAAAAAATCGCTCACGCTGGAAACCACGCAAAAACATTCAAACGCATTGACATGAAACCAAATGTTGATCAGAGAGATTCCGAAGCGCACAATCTTTTTTGACACCAGTGACAACGGCCTGTGCAAGTTCGAGTCGTCAATCTGTCGATTCGATTGTGTCATCACCAGTTCAAGCAGTCGATAAACTGCCTGTCAGAAAGAAGTAGCTTCCAAAATGAATTGTATTCACCTGTTGTAAAACTCAGACATTTGATCCCCTTTTAACCGTTTCCTCCGCCAAAGCAATCATGATTTCTTGCAATCCCTTTCGAACATCAGTCGCAGAAACTTTCTGACGTACCAGCTCGCAAACATCACCCCTCGATGGATTGTCAGCAATGTTGGAAGGTGTGGGGATTCGAGTATACCAAGGCGTGGTGCAATTTGCCATTTCCAACTTCAACAGGAAGTCAATCAACGAGTTTGCTGTAAAGTTACGGCCATTTCCAGAGATGGCCACATCTCTCGCAGAATTGTTGTCCACAAAACAAATTACTGACATTGCCGTCAAGTATTCTCGCCACACAGAAAAGGCAAGGACCATTGCCAACAGTTCCGCCTCGAAGATTATGGTTTTCTTTGTGTCTGCACCAAGAATCCCCATGTGATCATCATCCAATGAAATTGAGAAAAAGGCCACCTTGTTTCCATTGGGTCCAACCAACACTCCACCCAAGCCACACTTCCAACTTTGCGCAGTTGGTTCATAACAAGCATCCGTGTACACATGCCACACCATGTCTGTGCTCAAGTGGATCCTCCGAGGTTCTGCATGTTCCAAAAAGATAACAAAACGATTCAAAGCATTGGCAGTCCTCTCAATGATTTTGCTGCTCTGGAAGTTGCAGGTATGGTTGGTAACTTCCCTCATGCACAATTTACCCAAGCGGCCAAACAACTGCCCATCCATAAACTGCATTCTGCCCCTGAGTTTTTGCGCTTCAATAACAGTCATGGACCCTTTTTGCAAGATACCATTGATGGTGCCAACCAACTCACTTGCCCTTTTCTCCGTGTTCGTAAATTTGACAAGCCCCCTGCTGGCGTCATCCAAAATGATTCTAATACCCAGAGCTCCGAACTCCCTTGAAAAACATTCCGCCTTTTCACCTTCTTCCGCAAATCTCCATCCCAACAATTTGAAAAGCAGTGACACTGTCTGATTTGTATTGTTGGCGTGCTCATCCCTGGCAAAGACTACATAGTCGTCAAAGAAGCAGCTCCAAATGATATTGAGGGCTTTTACACCTATATACCATATAGCATTTGACAGCCTCAGAAATGAAAAGACACTTCGAGTTGCACCAAACGGTGCAGCAAGCAATTGAAACAACTCTGCCTTTTTCTTCTTGGGGTTGTACACTGCAACGAAAGCAAATGACAATGATTGCTGTGCTATAGCAAGTTGTTTGTATGCTGATTTCAAATCGAATGATCTGCCCATCAAAGAAACTCCTCCACTGCATTTCAGAACTTCCAAAAGCATGGCTGCAATAAAATCCGCTGAATGTGGCTTCGGCGATTCTGAGGTTTGCACCGTTTGATTCACTCCGCTCGCACTCATGTCATCTATCAAACGAATCTTTCCAGGTTGCCGCAGCCCAAATCTCCGGCTGACAACCGCCCCATCCGGGAGCTGTTCCACATTGATCGGTCCTGTCGCCCAGCCACACTCCACCTCTTCCAAAGTTTTGCTATACACCATTTCATCAATTTCCTTGTCACCTGAAGATGAACACTTGTAAAAGTTCAGCATCCTCTCAGAACGATTTGCTTTGCAGACCTGCTCTATGGTCTTCTCTGCCGGTTTGAACGCCTTCTCAAAAATTCCATAGGGTGGCACATTACCAACCAGCTCTGTACCGTTTACCAATTCATCGAATGCTCCCACATCAGGATATTCCAAATCCAATAAAATCTCCTTGAACAGGGTGAGCCTCTTTGGCTCTAAAATTTTGGCTGCATGCGCCGGTAAAGAATTTTTGAGATCCAGGTCGCTCTGACTCAAGTGCTTTGCTCGCTCAGTCCATTTGGCAAACCAACGGCTTCTGTCCCTTGGAAGGTTGTGCAGGCTGTTCTTACCAAAATTGTTGCTGATGGCTTCATGCAAGACCTTTGGCACCAACCTGGAAAAAAGTCTTGGATGACCCCTCTGAATTGCTTCACAAATGAACTCCTCTGGCTCGAATGGAATTCCCCATGCTTGTTCAAAAACTCCAATGTCAGACTTCCCAACCTCCATAATACCCCCATTTGACCGAAGGGGTGTAACCCGCAACAGCTGTGAGCCAATGGGCAACACTTGTAGATCCGTCTGGCAACAATCGGGCACTGTCCAGGAATGCTTGAGGCGCTGCATGGGTTCGACTGGTGCCTTGGCCAACTCAACAAAGGGTCCTGTAACCCGCACAACTCGTTTATGTTCTCTAACGACTGGAGGAAACTTAGCTGCTTTTGGCTGAGCAGTTGCAACCGCACGCATGGACTTAAGGGAGACTTCAGGCGCCTCATTCATCTGTTCTTGTGGAGGTGTCCACCCATGTGAAATCAAGATTGAAGCGAACACCCTTGCTATGGCATGCGTTAAACCCAATGGATATGCTGTTTCTTCGCTTGTAGAAAAGTGCGTACCAGACGCTGAATGCACCAATCCCCACGGTTTGTGTTGGTGATGCTCTGATATCCCTGGGCAGCATCTGCAAATTGAAGCAAAGGCCGGGTGGTTCCATGCTAACACTGTCCACTTCGGCCTAGATCCACCATATGCGCACGCCTGGTGAGCTGAATATTGCATTGGCGCCTGTATCTTCTTCCAAAAGGTAGTGAGCCAAAAGAGGGAAGATCGAGGGTTCTCTACCACTACAATGAGGCCCTGCTTATGTGCCAAATCCACCACTACTGCCAAAAAGTTGTACAGCTTGTTTGCTGCAGAGACCCTGATCCTGTCGCTATGGCCCAGGCCTGGCAATCCCTCTGGCCATTTGCCTGATCTCAAAGGTTTTGGTCCTTGCAAAGTCCTTCCACGAGAATCACGTAACTTGATGTTTCTGGCAAGCGAACATGTTCCACAAGGGGGCGCCAAAAAGACCCCTACAACCAAAGGAGAATTCAGCCACTGTATGAGTATTTGCTGGTCAGATTCCAGTGTAAGATCCAGGCGCTTTGCTGCTGATATCGCCTTGTCCAATTTGTGATCCACTCCAAATGAATCCCTGATGCCAACCGCTTTGAGGCTAGCCGTCAAACGCGCACTGCCGCAAAAAATTTCCAGCACTACAGGACATGTCAACTGCTCAATGCTAAATGCAAAGCCATCATTTGAGATTGATTGCATTTGTGGTTCGTTTGAACCCTGGTTATGAACTACTAGATCATCATTTGCTTCTGGATTCTGAGGGCTCGGCTGGACCTGTTCGACAGGGGCTTCATCAACTTCCGCTCTGTCAGTAAATGAAACACAAATGGATTCAAAATTGCTGTCAAAACTTGTCTCTTGTACAGGCTTCGCTGGTTTGAGACACTCTGAGGCTTTCACATGCACTGTCTGATTAAACTCGCTGCTCCCAACATGCTGGCTGCATGGATTATCAAGTGCAACGCTACCTGACTGAAAATTGCCTGAAAAATTGTTTGACTCATCACCATCATTCGGTGTCGCCTCATCGGGATGATCTTGACTTGCACAAGCTCCAGAGTGGAGTCACAGCTCTGACTCATGTTTCTGAATCCCATGCAAACCATAGCATTTTGCGCATACATGCAAACCTCTTCTGCACTTTGCACCATCAGCCGCTTCCGCACACCCTGAGCTGCTGTTGTATCCAAAACATATTGGGTCACCTGCAGGATTGGAAGAGGTGCCACCCAACTTGAAGATGTGCTGCGGCACTCTGACCTTCCCTTTGCCACCTTTCTTTCCACCCTTAGCTTTCAACCACGGTTTTTGAACCGGTTGATTGGAGCCCTTTCCACCATGACTTGCGGTTGGCTTGGTGGGCTTTGGAACGCTCGGAACATTGTCCTTTCGGGCAACCAACGGTAACAAGGAGAAGGAGACACGGTAGCTGTGGAGACTCTCCATAAGCTTTGAGTCCAAAGCCAACTCTCCAGCTTCATCTCTTTTTGGCTGCACCCCCTCCTCCAGGATCATCTGCCACACCGTTTTGTCAGCAGCGACCAACTGACTCACAGAAGTCCTTGCATAGCCCGCTGGTGGGTCTCTATGCAAGTGCCCAAAGAGAGTGGTCAGGTATCTGGTGTAACTCTCATGGGTAACCAGATCTGCAAACACCAGTGCTATGCCACGACGCTGGAAAGCTTCTTGCACTTGGAGCGCTGAAGTGACAGTCATGTCGGGAGTGTCTTGCTTTTCCTTCACGACAAGGTGCTCCGCTGAAATGTCCAACTGCTTTGTGGGGGACTTCTGATTTAACACTTCATGAGTCCTTGAAATGCAACGTTCAGGGGGAATGTATTTGACCTCGTTGAGCTGCATCATACTGGCTGTTGTATCCAGGAGCGAATGTCCCGGTTCCAGTGGGCCTCCTATGAGAAGACCTGTCAACCTCTTTTTGATGGCCTTCATTTTAGTCTCCCGCTCAACAATGGGCACCTTCTTGATGGTCGAAGCATCCGTTGCATTGACTTGCTCCTGTAGCGAAGCAAGAACCATTGTTTGGCTCTCGAAGAGCAACCTTTTGGCACCAGCAATGTCTGCTATTGTAGCGCCTGTTAATAGCTGATTGGTAACCCATGCTTCAAAACCTTCGTCTGAAATGTTCTGCCCCGGTTGTCCATGAGCATATGCATAAGTCCCAAAGGTATGCAAGCCTGATCTCTTCAAACTGCGTTTCAACTCCTCTGATAGCTTCAAATCAATGGTGCGCTGAGCAAATTGCGCTTCTGAATCCAGTAAGCTTGCCATTGCTACAAGTTCCGACCTGCTACACAACCCCAAAAGAAAATGCTTTTCTGAAAACAACTCCCACTGGATATATTGATACACTCAACAAGATGCAAACAAATTCCGTTCAAATTAAAATGCATTCGTGCCTTCAAAACTGTTCCAAAAAATCTGTGCTCATGAGCCACGCTCCACAAGCATACACTGACAATGCAACAGGTGCCACGCAACCCATGCTGCCATACCGCCCCCTGCAGTTCACAATTGCGGCATTCTCTCCAATTGTGCTCACTCAATTTTTTCAATAAACAACGATGTGACAAAATACTGTTGATTGTTTGAAGGTCTCACAAAACAATTCAAACTAAACAAAACACATCCAACTTAATCAAGCAACAGGGTGCCACGCAACCCCAATCCTTCGCGCCCCTCACCAAGTGAGATCCACTTTTTAGCACAATGCCTTTGGAAGTACATTGTCTTTCACCGCATTGCTTCTGCAACGCTTGCACATGTCCACAGAGTCAAACTGTGCTGTGTACTTATAGTTCTGGTTCAATGACCTTCCACAGGAAATGATGCGGGTACCTTTTCCATCAACCAACGACGGATCCGAGTAATGGACCAACTTTGAAACATTGTGCACAACGAAGAGGCCTGCAAGTGGTCCAACTGCATGGTGTCTGAAACACTTCACGGGAGGCTTTGGCACTTCCTCCTCTGAATCCGAGGCCTCCAATGACTCAGATCCATCAGATGACGCCTCATATTCGTCATCTTCCTCAGCCACAACCTGGCTATCCTTCTCATCAATGGCCTCCACATCCGACTGCACGTCTTCAACCTTGAAGACCTCATTTGCTGCAGGAGCCGTCACCTCCAAAGGCTGTGGGGCTGTTGGCAAGTACCCCGACCTGGGTGCATCGGGTAAGAATTCACCACAATGAATTTTTCTCAAAACTTCCTGCAGCCGATGAACAGCTCCAAATGCAAGGTCCCTTGCATACACAGCGCTGGACTCCAGGTATGCACTGGAGTGCCTTCCCAAAATTGCTCTGTCAGCGGCACTCATCCCCGACTTCGATGCCCAGGATAACAGCGTCGCTTTCAGTGAATGGGACGACACTCTCAGGTCCCCATGGCCTGAAACTTCATCCTCCAGCATGAGCCGCAAGAATCTTGTAACCTCCTGTGAGGTCAGTCCACGGCGACAATGTGCATTGCCTGACATCCCTGGCGGCCGAAAAAAGGGCCCTCCAATCCGACCCTCAAACATGAGTCCATATTCTTCAAATGCAGCTTTTGCATCTGAGATCCACTCGCTCCCTGTTATGCCCATAGCCGGGAGCACAATCGGCAGCAACCTGGATTTCTGGGCAGCTGTCCTGGCTGTTTTGTGAGTTCGTGTACTCACCTCCATGTAGCCACCTTCGTCACCGAAGTCCAGTGCAACCTCTTCAACATTTTGCAAGTCACTGTGACGGCACCGTCCATACAGCGCCACCAGAAGATATGCCACCACTGCTCTGTCAACGGTGTTGCACGATTCATCCTGCAACTTGTCATGCAGCCACCTCACCTGACTGACTGTCACCACAAGTGCCTGTTTCAATGGGGCTTTCTCTGCATGCATGAGATCTGCAATGCCCTTGAGTCGCCTGCTCTCACAAATGGGCGCCAAGCCAGAAAAACCAAACACGTGCAAAGCATATGCGCATGCTGACAAAAAGCTTGTGCCCCTCGTTGGAGCAGCAAGCACTCTTATCACGCAACTCAGACAAATACTGCCAGGCCTCCTGCTCAATGAACTCCTTGCCATCGTTCTCCGACGTTTCAGCCCTCCATCTGATGAACTTCAAGAGGGCATTTGCTCGGGTTATGGCAGTGGTTCTTGAACGAATGCCAATGACTGCTTCTATGATTCTGAAGGCGCCTTGTTTCTGTTCTTCCATGTTTCCCAAGCCAATTATGTCATGGCCAACTGAAGAAGCAAGCATGTTGACTCTTATGATGCAAAACCACTTCTCAACAGCTGACTCCAATAGGTTCTGCCGTTGCTGAAAAAACGACTGATCCGACCCTGAAGTGAGAGCATGCTCGAAGAAGGCCCCCACCAACTGCGGCCTACTGTCAGTGGCCTTTTCCAAATCGTCCAGCGATTCCACAGCAGATTCAGCGCAGTGATCGACCCATTGTTTTGGCTGGACAAACAAATCATTCCGACTAGACCCAGGCTTCTTGAAAATGCTTTTGAAGACTCCTTTTTCCCAAGGCATAAAAACCTTCAATGAACCTCTTGTGCTCAAAAATGCATGGGACAAGTGCTGCTCAAAATTTGCCTGGGACAACGTTGGTCCTCGAGGAACTTGACTCGCCCCTAAGTCCAAAGCACCCTGGGTTCTGTCAGAATGACTTCCTGAGAATTGCAAAAAGTTTGAATCCTCCAAATCACTGTTGCTTTGCCACATTGCGTCAAAAGGACCCCACAGACCCTCATCTGAGGCTTCACCGCCAGTTGAATTGCCAGGACCCTCAACGTCCAAGCCATCTCCAACACGCTGCAAAACATTGTCAGATTCAACGCTGGCACCATCTGAACCACCAACAACATACTTAGTCAATGTCTTGGCTCTCCACGGCATGACTGTTGGAACTCTCAGTGATGCTGCTGCTAGTGGTAAGGTCCTGGTCCCAAACACCCCCACCTTGACCGGCAAGAAGTAGTGCAGGCTGAACTGGAGGTGTCGGCACAGAAAATCCTGACCCCTGATAATGAATGCGAATGGCGGTGGCCGTCAACAACAGGTCTTTGGTTTCCAAAATCAGGTACACACAAGACTGCAAATACCGCTGTGACTCCCTAGGCGACAGCAAGGACAAAATTTCCGACTGAATTGCAAACCAGCCTGGGAAGTGAATCAAAAATGCCTCTTGAGGATTACAGTCAGCAAAGCGTTCCAAGCTAATCCACATGTACCACACCGAAAATGAGCCACCAAATGAATGCCAGTGCTGAAATGAAGCCAGTGCAAAAGAAAGTGCAATCTCGAAAAGTGACCCGAACTGGGGCAACAGGCACCGGGCACAACACCACCGGGCTGGAAGCCGCTACACGGCCCCTTTCTCTCGCGCCCATCCACCGAGCGGGCCCGATGAGTGAAATCAAAATGAAAATAAGTTGATCTGTTACTGAAACCAGCACTGTTACCGAAACACACCAAAAACAAACATGCAACCAAACAAGTTGACATGCAACCTCAACCAAAAAAGTATGAGGCTACCCTCCACCCTACCCTGATAAGCCAAGATGTCGCACATTGTATTCTTCATCTGGATACGGCTGTAGACCTGTAAGTGCACAAAGTCATCACTGAATGAACTTCTGAAGATTCAAGAGTTTGAAGTGCCGCCAGAACCAAGTGTTTGAAGTTGATTGCAAACGATTCACAAACTGCAATTGTAAATAAACTCGACCAAATCAGTTGTAAAATACAAAGATCCATCTTCGAGTGATCCCTTGCAGCAAAGAGGAGACAGCACAACAAGAAGGACAACCAGCAGCACGAAAACACGTTTTCTCACCAACACTAGAAATAAGGAGCTATCAACAAGTTGACCGCATACATTAAGTCGATAAAGGAAATTCCAGACAAACATGTCTTAACAAACATGTTTGCTTTGTATTTTGCATGATCCCCACTTTAGAGCACATGCTCGCACAAATCATCTAGCATATGTACGTTAAAAAAAAGTTGACAACCAAAATCAGGTTCATAGTTCATAGTTCATATACTATTGTATATATATATACTCACTACACTCTGACACAAATTGCCGGACCTGCCCTGAAACCAAAGGGGTGGATTGGATAAGGAAGAATAGTGAAACAAACTCCAACAGAATTAGTGAGGCGGCAGAATCTAGAGACTAGAATTGGAGGGCACGACCGATGAGCTCTCCTGTCGAGAAGAAAAGAATGATGTCATACAGGCCTGGTTGTTGTCGATCTGCTTCTTCTTGGTACCCGCCTTGGCTGCGGGCTTTGGCTTCGATTCCTTCGCTGCCTTTGCCTTCGCTGCATGTTTCTCCACAGCTGGAGCTGCCTTCGGGGCAGCTTGGGCATCTGCCTTCGGGGCAGCTGGGGCAGCTGCCTTCGGGGCAGCTTGGGCATCTGCCTTCGGGGCAGCTGGGGCAGCTGCTTCCGGGGCAGCTGGGGCATCTGCCTTCGGGGCAGCTGGTGGCTCAGAAGCAGCCGGAGTGACGACACTGGCAAGCTTCGCAGCATCCTTTTCCATCGCAACCTGCGCCTGTACGGAACGGCAGGTAAATAAAATGACTTAAGCACCTGGGCAGAGGGCATCTGACCTCTATCTCTTTATAATATTTTTTATGTATATTATTATAATATTATATATACATATGAATCATATGATTATATATATATACACACTTATTTACTTTCAAGGAAACCAGCAGTTTACATCTACTTACTTGTGTTCATTTGCGCGTGGGCCCTACCCGCGTAGCTAGAACGTTGAAGAGGAACAGCGTCGGCGTGTAAAAGACGCGCGCTCACTACGCTCGGATTCGCCAAACCATTGCTTTGCAATGAGTGAACCCGTAGTTTTTTTTTTTAAAGACGATGCTTCTAAACCTAATATATATATATATTATATATATTTATGATTGTACACAGCGAGCGATATCAAAAAATATCTAAATATATTTCTGTACATATACACTATACGTAGACAAAATGATATGCGCATGGAAGTCAAGTAGATAGGTATGTAGGTGGGTAGGCAGATAGATAGAAAGAAACATAGAAAGATATAGATGAAAATAAAGATAGATAGATAGATCAATCAATGGATGTATGGATGGATGGAAGGATGGATGGA